TTACCATAGCAGCCGTGTGGCGCGTTGATCGACGAGAGGCGAGTCGTAGTGAGTGAGGGGAGGTACGGCTCGTTCATACTGCGTCTATGAGCAGTTCCTTAACTGAGCTAATCTAATATCATTGGCTCTTGTCACAAACGGCTGGCTAACAGAGACACACTTAAAATTCTTTGAGCATTTCTTTATTTCCTTTGTAATTACTTGAAACCAAGTATGCATATCCTGTCTTTCAAGAGAGGCTTGAAACAAATTGTCATGTTCCTTATAACGGACTTGAAACGCAAACCCATTCTTGATGTGTATTGCTTGACATACTGTTGCGTGACCAGATTTTTCCTACTTAGGGCAAAGAATAGACTTTTTGTAGACTGTATGCTGAAGCTCTGCACTAGTAGCGGGAGCGTTTGCAATCAGCTTGAGCATAGATTGAGCTGGCGGCCATGCACAAGACTAGAAATCCGCAGCGGATGCGATGTACGAAAAGTCCCTAACGAAATTAGACATTGCGGTTTTTTGTGCATTGTTGTTGCAAAGTGGAACACAAGAATTCCTATTTTAACATGCTCACTTTTTTCGTTACAAGTGCTTCACACACGAAGGCCGACAGTCCCTGCCACCGTTTTTCCCGCCGCCGCCGCTGCTCCCGCTCCTCTGGTTCTCTGTTCATACGCAAGAGGGCGAGTGGCGGGCTGGCATTGCAAATAAATGAACCCACATTTATGTTTCTTCAGAAAAAAAAAAAGCTGGGGTCACAAAAAAAAACAATATTCATGTTGAGGTGGACAGTCGCATTCATGCATTCTATCGGAGCAGGCACCTTTGAAATAAAAGAACAATCTATGGGTACATGTTACTGGAAAGTTTAATAATATCAATTCATGACAATACACTTTTTCTTCCAAAAAATGCTAAACAGGCCTGCTCGATCGATTGCCTGCGAAATATGGGAGCCTGTACCTTAAAGGAACACACAAGTGGATTTTTAGATTGTCTATTTATTGTTGTAACTCAATCTATAGGCTCTAAGCATCCTAAAAAACCTGAAATCACATTCAAGAGCGGCCAATTTCCCTATTAAAAGTACAATCAAAAATTTTTCCGCGCCTCTCTTTCTGCATTGTGGCACAGAACACTAGGGGGTGCCACGAGACGGGAAGGCAGCAGGGGAGGGCACGTGACAGTAAATCACGAGTGACGGTTTCCCGGCGGACTGACTTTTCGAAGGCGCGCATATTCGAAAAATTTAGTTCGGCGGGAAGCCGTCACTTGTGACTGGCTGTCGCATGCCCTCCCCTGCTGCCTTCCAGTCTGGTGGCACCCCCTGGTGTTCTGCGCCATGGCGCAGAAAGAGGGGCGTCGCACAATCTTTGATTGGACTTTCGATAGGGAAATCAGCCATCCTTGAATTCATTTCGGGTTTTTTAGGATGCTTAGAGCCCATAGATTAGGTTACGACAATAAATAGACGGTATCAGAATCCACTTGAGTGTCCCTTTAACAAAATAATTTGTAATGGTTACACCAACAATGTCAAAATAATTTTCTTTGTTTCTGATTGATTGTTTCTAAACAGTACTAGTCTTCTCTTAATGTTATTGTTTTAGTTATTTAGTTTCAAAGATCTCTGCTCCAATAGTGCGCGTGAATGCGACCGTCTACCTTTATGTGATCTAAAATTTCTTGCGCGCCCAGATTCTTTTTCTGATGAAAAATAAACATGTTTATTTACTTTGGACATTAGGCAATGACATATAAAAATATCAATTGACTTGCAAATGTTGACCAGCCATCCTTCGGCCAATCTTACCCAAAATCACCCTTAAATTGCCCAAAACTGCACCAAAATACCTCCATAACTTTTTTTTTTTTTTTTTTTACAAATTTTTTTTTATATAATAAGTTTTTGCTGCGACATGTTTTACTTTGAATTTCGTAGCTCCAAATTATTATTATTTATTTATTTATTTATTTTGTTTCTACGTTGCCTTAAAATGTGGACTTTTGTGCTCCTAAGCTGCTCCAAAATGTACATGTTCTGCTCCTGAACTGCTCCAAAAAATTTGTACAGAATTTGTTTTAACTGTCTTACCCAGTCATGGGCAGTACCTATACTCTCTTTTACTTTAAAGGCACACTGACAACCTCCCCCCCCCCCCATTTTTTTTTTTTTACAATTTTTTGTTAGGCGTTTGAATACTATTTAATTAATATTGTGCTACAGAGTTACATATTTTTATTAATAAAGCCAAAAAACGCAACTGCTCGAAACCAAAACCCCCGCATTACATGGAGAGGTCGAGAGGAGAAAGTGAGTGGCGGAAGTCACGTGGCTGCACCTGACCGTGCAATTTTTTTTTCTTTCTTCCACGCCCAGCAGACGAAATGCATTGCGGGATTTGTTTGCCGTGCGATTCCTTTGCAGTTATGTTTGTTCCGCTCGCTGTTCTGTACTTCAAGATGAGTTGTTTTGTACATTTAAGTGTTGGCAATTAGTAGTGAGTGCCCGTGGTGTAGCATCCGCTGGTGGATTCTGTCACCTTTTGCTACAGCAATTATTGATTATGTGCAGGTGCCTGGACCTCGAGACCGGTGACCTTGGAGATGTCAGCAAGGCTACAGGGTGATTTGTTCACCGCAGGGCTGTGCAATTTAGTGGCATGGAACTAGTGTCTCACCTCGGAGATCTCCATGGCGAGTGAACAGTGTAAGGCTGGTGGGGCAAGAAGTTTATTGGAAGGTTTTCTCATGCCATGGGGATGAACATTCGTGACAGGTTCATCTCCCAAACCAGCTACGCAATAGACGCAAGCCTGCTAAGTCACTGGGACATGGATGCATTACAGTAATTAGTGTGTGGTACAGAGGACTTCTAGGGACAAGGCAGGAGACGAACATGCAATATTTATATTCTGCCCATATTCAGTGAACAACCCCCCCCCCCCTCCCCCCGAGGTCACGTGACTCCCCCGGAGCATATTAAAGAATGAGGGGAGGAGGAGGGGTCTACCCTCCCCTCAGTACCCTCCTCCTCCTCAAGAGCTGCGCTCCGATTTGGCGTTACAGGGAGTTGTAAATGGCTTTCACTTTTTAGAGCGCAGCTCTTAGGCGCCCGTTCCCGGCTCGAGCGGCGTCGGCGTAACCGCGAGTAACCCTCGTAACCCTCCTGAGGGTTACGAGGGTTACTCTCACGAGGGTTGCCTTCACGAGGGCTACGAGGGTTACTAACCTTCGTAACCCTCACGAGAGTTAGTTACCCTCAAAAGGGTGACCCTCATGAGGGTCATGATAGTTACTCTCACAAGGGTCACGATGCCCTCAGAAAGGTTACTAGGGTTACCTCGCGAGGGTCACGATGGTTATCCAGGTCACGTGACCCCCTCGGGGTCACGTGACCTGCCGATACCCCGTTGATGTCACCGGCATCCCCATTGTCATCATCATCAGCGATGACGTCATCAGTGACGTCACTGATGACACCATCGCTGATGATGACGATGCGGATGCCGGTGACCTCATCAGTAACGTCATTGATGACGTCATCAGTGGCGATGACGTCAACGGGGGGTCACGTAACCTCGGGGGGGGGGTATCCGCAGGTCACGTGACCCCGGGGGGCTACGTGACCTGGATAACCATCGTGAACCTTGTGAGGGCAACTCTCGTGACCCTCGTGAGGGTAACAAAGGTAACTCATGAAGGTAATAGTGAAGGTCACTGATGACGTCATCAGCATTGTCGCGTGACCTCCCCCGACGTCAGGTGACACCCCAAGGTCACGTGACCCCCCGCCACCCGAGGTCACTTGACCCCCCCCCCCCCAGTACCCTTCCTTCCTCCTCCTCCTCAAGAGCTGCGCTCTAATTCGGCGTTACAGGGAGTTGTAAACAGCTTTAATTTTTCTTGTAAAATTAAAAAGCGTAGTTCTCTTTGTACAAAAAATAAGGCCAAGAAACTTGCCAGGGTCTACGGCGGGCAGCGACCCAGACGACCAAGTCCACTAGCGGGTTGTGCTTGGCGTTCGTATTGATAGATGGCGTCTGGAGCAGCGTTCGAAAGTGCAGCCGACCAGTGAAAGAAAGCAGATGACACGTAGACAATATCCGTTGACAGCAAAAGCACAGTCGTTATGCAGACGCATTTTTTTCCCTTTTACTTTAAGTTTTGCTTTTATTATCGGCATTAATTTTTTAACCGAAAGTACATTTTAAAAAGGTTTTTAATTTTAATAAACCGTGGTGGTCGCGAGCCGTCGCTATGAGGAAGTAGCGCCATCTGTCAACACGAACACCAAACACCCCCTACTGGACCCCTGTCGTCTGTGCCACTGCCTGCCGTAGACCCTAGCAAATTTCTTGGCTATGCTTTGTAATTTTCCAAGAAAAAACTGACCTGTGGAATACACCTTTGACGAAAAGTTTAGATTGCTACGTGCAGGCGTCGATTTTTACAGTCCATTTTAGATCGAGCCTGGCGACCTGGATTACCTTATATTTGTAAGAGGTTCATAAAATTGTTCACTGCAAACACATATCAGCAATCTTAATAATTAGTGAGTCATGTTTTATTTTCACTTCATTTGGGTATGTTTACGATAAATATTGAGCGAATAAAGTACAATTAAAAAATTGGGTTTGTAGAACAAGTAATAAATAATGGACGCCAGCAATTGACTCCGTAACTGTGACGTCATGAGTCCAAACAAACCATTGCTAGGGTTGATGTTGCGGACAAATACATGTGGCTAGGTTTTGCTACGGAAACCCGACTGTTCAAAAATCAGGAGTAGGATTTAAACTTCTAGAATTCACAGATACAGAAAGCTTGAATGTCTTATATGTTTAGACAGAAGTGTGCCAATAATTGCTTGTTTCTGAAATATTTACAACTGCAACTTCCAGTCCTCAAGATGCCTGCAGCGGACTACGAACACAAGAAGTATGCCGTCTGCCACAAGCTGGCACCATCGTTGGAATCGTGTGAATAAAGACTATATTCTGAAGTTGTATTTGTTTGAAATATAATGACCTTCAGACACTTATAAGAATTCATAGTGGGGTGCAATGCAAAATATAGTTCATTGAAAGTCCAGTCGTCGATCGAGGTGATTGTCTGCTAAAAGGTTGCATTGCACCTGTGAGAAAAGCACTTCAGGCGATCGGTTGAGATCCCAAATTTTTTTTGCGGACTCGCCCTATGTGAGAGTGCTTCATACCTGGTTGTAACAATCGCGTGAAGAGAGGTTCTTGCAATTTCTTCAGATTCCCGCAAGACCCCAAAGCGTGAGAGAACTGGATAAAAAAACAAGGTGAGTACATGTAGCACTGGCGGTTAGTTGCCTTGATGTAAAAAAAGGGCCAAACACAACCAAGAGCACGTAAAACCCATATTCTGTTCGGTCATATTGTTTGAAAATCTGGCGGTATATTTATATCTTATTACTATAATATTGATAAAGTAGTTGCATGCAAGTAGTAGTGAGAGTAAAATCCAGATCAAACTTTTGGTAGTCTTAAAGGCCCGTTCACACTCTTGCGGCCCCAAGAGAGACCAGACCGGTTTTTAAGCCTCTTGCGATCTCTTGGGACCAGCTCCGCTGTAGCGCATCCGATCCTAAGAGATCGCAAGAGGCTCAAAAGCCGGTCTAGTCTTACTCGGCCACAAGACTGTGAATGGCGCTTAAGGCCCGTTCACTCTTGCAACCGAGTACGACTGAGAAAGACGAGACTTGTTAAAGCCTCTCAAAATTTCTTGGGACGAGAGAACACGCTGGCGCCATCTATGCAGTGGCCCTGGAACTGCATTTAACAAGAGCGAAGGTTTTGCGGTATTTCCGAGGTCAAATGTGCGTAATACCTGCGGTGCCGTCCGCAGCTGCGGTGGCGCTGTGGACGGCACTGCGCGTGCGCAGACGCTTCAAGTCACGCGAATTCAGTTTCTGCGCACGCGCAGTGCCCACACCTGGTGTGGGCAAATGCGGGCTTGTTTGTAAACAGCGTGTCGGTCTATCAGAAAGGCTTGTTTATAACGTTGACAAAACTTTTCGAGCCAAGAAAGAAAGGATAATGCGCGACAAATAGAAAATATGCCGGACTGTCAAGTTTACACTGCTACCCAATAGATGGCGCGAATGTGTCCTCTCGTGAGAGGTTTCAAGAAACCCAGTTTTAAGAGGTCGCAAAAGTGTGAATGCGCCTTAATATTTTTATGGTAAAACGGCGTTCAGAAGTATGCCTGTGTCCATACGCTATCCGGTTATTTTGTTTATTCATCTTTAATGATTTCTTTTCATTGTGCTCTTCATATGTTCTCCTGTTTGGACTAGCTTTTTAATTTAGTATTTAGTACAAGCCTCAATAATAATAATAAAAACGACTTACCTCGAAGGCGTAAAATTTGTTTCTCATGGTGGCCTGCACTACGCCGGTAATGCACCTCGGGTCGTCGTCGTAACTGATTTGCATGAGGTAGGTTGATTTTACGGCATTTTCGCCCCTCCGAACAAAGCTATATTCTTCACAAGGAAAAAAAAAAAAAGGCACATTGCGGAGGTTTTTACGGTCATGATGATGCACTTGTTTTTGTTACTGGTTTACAGAAGCAATTCAATGAAGACGCCCGCTGCAACAGAGTTAGGGCAGCAAATGTATTGTGTCGTCTGCTATCAAAGCAAAGCGGAGTGTCATACTTTAGAAATGGTTTTCCTCGTTGCAATACGACACAGAGACGACAAGAACATCATAATTAGATATCAAGAAGTTAGATTGCTTACAAAAAATTATTGACTTGTAAGCAAAAATCTAGCCTCATGTGGAGCCTCCATGCATTAGCCCATAGCAACGCCCTTAGCAACGATTTGTTTGAAGAGTATTTGTTTGAACCCAGACGACATGTTGTGACACTTTCCCCGCAGACGCTGGAGGCCTTTCAAACGAAACAAACAAAAAAAAAAATACGGTCGTTTTCACAGACTTTCAGCTCGCTGAGGTGTCGTCCAACGTGGAGCTGTTGCACTGGAGCTTTCTGATCGCCTTGGAAATTGATTAAAAGTATTGCTACGTCTCACGCGTCAATCAGGTTGAAAACACGGTAGGCACCGGGAATAACGTGTCGGAACGCTTAAACGTCTGTCTCCCGTCGTACCTAAGTAACTGAAAAAGAACAGTGATCATGTTCAACTCGTCTGCGTCCTAATAGGCGCCCAACTCGGTCAGTCTCAGCGCACCTCCCGCACTCGACCAACGTGATAAGCGAAGCACTTTCACGTAGCCGTATCGAGGTAACAGAGATCTTCGCTATCTTCAGTTTCAATTGAACGTTTCGAATAACCATGTTCCTTGCACACGACGCAGATGCTATCTCGAGCTCCGAGGCCTGTACGCGCGGAATGCCCAACCATTCGGCTTCTTGAGACTGTAGTTCCATACCACGGAGTAGATGTTATTTTACAACGCCTACACACATGTAGATGTTACATGCTCACTGCATTCGCGGTACACGGATCTACTTACCCATCTCTGAGGGCTGTAGGTGCGACGACGAAGATAACAGCGGGGAAAGGCGTCATCAAAACTTAGAACGCAAGGAAAAAATCGACGGAGAACCGTTACAACATGGCGCCGGAATGTTTGTAAACATACTCTCGTTACCGTGCTTTGGTTCCCCGATTTCGAAACAAAATTGCGTTTAGCATATTTAAAATTATTTTCGCAACGTAGATAGCTTGATCAATTGAGTATATATATTCCCATTTTTTCTTTAAGTTAAATTGAGAGCTTAATGACTTCGCAATGAAGCACACTCTCATACTCTCGCAGATCAGCATAGGTTTGCTTCACCGAAAGACACCGCTGTATTGCAGGGAAAGGTGCTCGCTGGCATTGGCACAGGTGAAAATGTCCTGTCCAAATTCCCCTTCCGACAATACAGTACATATGCACTGTTAAGGTATTGGTTGTTGGGGGTGGCTTGTCTGTGGCCAGGAAGGCACACAGAGTCAGTTAAAAATGATTATTATGGAATAAAAATACTGGAAAGCAGCCTCAGACACAAGGATGAAGTAAAGGCACTAACACAACAAAACAATGGATGACCTTCAAGTGTAGTTTATTTTATGAAAAGGAAGCATTTTAGTCTTATTACATTAACACATACACCCATGCCAACCAGGCAGCTGGCAATCAGAGGGATAGAGCCTTACAATGAGGCAGTGCTAAACTCCAATTTATGAATAAAGATTTTTTTTTTTCACTTTGTTTTGTAAGAGATGTTGTTTTCCATCATGATTAGTTTCGCTCTCACCAACTATCCCAATCTACCACCCTACTTCAGCTCATTATGGGGGGCTAGTTACACTTGAAAAATCTGCAATGGCAAGAGGAATACTAGTGAGTTCATTTCATTGCCAGAAAATTGATGGCGTTGTCTCACATGGTAAGAACAATGCACGCTCATGAATGGACTGTGTGAGACCATCAAAGTGCAGGCAGTGACTCTACTTGATATTCTGGGGACTGAACACAACTGCCTCAGGCTACTCTTAGAGAGAACCATAACGGTGGTCAAGGAACCGGTACAGCAACACAAGCCCAGTTTACCTATGATATGTAGGTCTTCCATTCCCTTTGTAACAATATACAGGACACCAGATTGTGGGTTAGTACTTGAATTTCAGCATCGAAATACACGTGAAAATATATTCCTGGTCTCACAACATTCAAGGGAATAATGTATCTCGTTACATTTTCAACTGGGCTTGCCATGTCATCGTCCCAACTACCGAAATAGTTATCTTCTCCAAATGCTTCATCAGCTTGCACAAGCAGCTGACACCAGTTGAGAACAAGCTAAAAGATCATGAGGAGATACTTTGTAAAATGGCAAGACGGCGGCTTCTGTGATACTACAAAGCCAGTTTCCTTTAGACAATTTAACATAAGATTATCATATCAACCAAGTATCCCTCCACGGCGTAGCCCTCGAGCTCGGTCGGGGATGCCAAGCTTCTTTGCTTTGCACTGCGCGCTCGCACAAAGCTCCACCGGTTCACCAGACATGCTTGCATGAAGCTTCACACTTTACACGACAGCACTATGGCAAAGCATCTTAATTTTTGCGGGAGGTGGGGGGGGAGGCTCAATATTTTGCAGACCTATTTTCAGACTTCGAAAATATTCAAAATTACCGAATAGTCCTATTCGATTCAAAGTATGAGTCGATTACGGCATTATTCGCTTCAATATTTAAAAGTTATGAATATTTGCACAACCGTTGTCTTCAGCATTATTTACAATTTACAAGGAAGCTGCTATCATGTCTACCTTTCACGGGATCTTCTGAATCTTTCGTTCAAATCGTGATTATAAACTTTTGGACTTCGACCCAACGGAAACTATCCATCTGCACACTCCGCAAGGACAATTCACTGAGGCGGTCATTGGCCATCATTGATCGAAGTTTGTGTTATGTCAATCTGGGCCTACAAAGAGATTGTTCACCCCTGCAGTTTGTAAACATAAAAAAATAAAAATCTAGAATGGGTACATGAACACCTAGAAATGAGCCTTGAAGCTTTTCTCAGACTACAGTTTTGGAATGTTTCTCACAGAAGCCTTCCTTTTCGGAAAATAAAAGGAACTGTTCTAGTTCATCGGGGAAATCGTCCGACAGACCAGATTTATCCATTGCCTGGAATCACCACTGTTTCAACGAAAGTGTGCCGCAGTCGGCAATAAAAAGTAAACTGTAGGCAGACTTTGCTGTGAGCAGTGAAACGAGTTTTAAGTGAATGCGGAAGGTTGTCAATCATGCCAATATTGGTATGACAGTGCAAGTTCAGTGAGGCATCTTGAGGGTGAAGGTTGCCATTTGTGCCGATCGGTTTGCTTTCTTATGATTGTTGCTTTGTACGTAGTTACCGATGTTTCCTTCGCTGCCTGTTTCATTTCACTGAATCTTTTCCTTAGACCGGATACATAATCACTCAATGATTTCGTCAGGTTTACAGCTTCATTCAATGTGAGCGTCTGATTATGTTGCGTTCTGATGGCATTGAAGCATTGCAACACTCTATCCCTGAATTAAGCTACGACTGTTGCAGTCATACCCATAGTCTTCAACCATAACCCATGTCTCTGCTAGTTCTTCCTAACCTTCAGACCCTCAAGGCAACCCTAATTTCTTGAGCGAACAGAGCTTCATAGCATCCGCTCGGGCTGACCACCACGAGTCTTGGAGTCGCATGGGCATGAATACCATATCACTGTTTCAAATCAAGCCTGCAGAGTATTCCGGCGAAGGGTAGACGCAGAAAAAAAATTTATGTACGCTGTACGCAACGGTTAACACAGACCACTGTGCGTGTTCTGTGTCGAGTGCTCTCGTGCCAACGCCAGCTGCCATTGATTCAGCAATGGTCAGCGGTTGTGATCAACCTGGTCGTGTTCCGAAATTTACCCAATCTCACTCTAGAGTAACAGTTTCATACCTTGGTGTTCGAAAACCTTTTTGCGTCTGGCGTTGCTCAGCTTGAAATGTCACGTGATATGACCCGCAGGAGTAGCTGGGATCCAGTCAAGTAAGGTTTGGAACACGCCCCCTGTCAGGGGGGGATACCCTCACAGAGGGCCCTATTCATTTGAGCAGTTAAATATGGGTAATGTGGCCCTGCCCCTGGGCGACAAGAGCAACATGGTGAAATGCTGGCCTGTTACATGGAGGCCCCAATTGTATTGCCGGATAATGCATTATCCGACACCTTGACTCAACCTTTACAAACAAGTGTTCTCGAATCTTCTGGTGACAAGGAATCCTAGCAACCTTCAAAAGGTGCTATGGAACCAACCTTTCCCTTGCGCCCCTTCCACACTCCTTGATACTGCAGCATTCATGCTGCACCAGGCACGTCATGCTTTACCGCTTTGCACCATCGTGATCACAAAAGTTTCAGTGCTTTGCTCCGCCACGCATGCATCACGCTTCACCGCTATACACCGGTGCGTTGCGGCAGTGTATAGCAGTGAAGAAATACTTTGAAAATATTTGAAGTTGCCGAATACTCCTCACCAATTCAAAGTGCGAGTAGAATACGGCGTCATTCGCTTCAATATTCTGAATTTTAGAATATTTGTACAACCCTAAAATATGTCGTAAAGTAACGCTCAGGCACCTCTACAAATCCGGAGATCATTGCAAAAAAGTGGGAGATGGGCACTTGATATGCTATCAATGTTATCTATATTACTGAACCATCTAGAATGGCCCAAGCTGAAAAAGGCTTCCAAATATTCTGTTTGTAGCATTCATAATTAGGCACTGAACTTTTTGCTTGATGCTTTGATTGATTTTGTTTCTTTTTATGGGAAAAAGTGCACATCAACAATGGAAATCAGCGACATGGTTTGCAAGCCACCCAACCAATGGTGTGTGAGCCCCCCTATGGCTGAAAAAGATGAAGAGAACACAGGCACAGCGCTCACTTACGACTGAAAATTTTACTTCTGCATGGTACAGTAAGTAAACATAAAAAGAAGCAGACAGATACCATTTCAAAATGACCAACCAACTAGCCCAACTACACAATTTGTTGCAGTTCTTCTATGGCCCTGAATTCGTTCCTTACCACGAGAAAAGTGACGATTTTTCAAGCATCTCTGCAGATCCCTTCATTTTTAAAGCTATTTGGCACATACCATAAAATCCCGAGATATGCACTTCCCAATCAGCAACATTCACTTGTATCCCACCACAGCTAACTAGCCGCATTGGTGTCGAGGCCATCACTGATCCCAACACTACTATTACTAGAAGTAGTCTATCTTTCGGTGTTTAAAAAGTAAAGCAAATCAAGCCAAAAATAGGGGTGGAGTACCTTTTGAGATCTTAGAGTAGAGTATTATGACACATCAAAATGCAGGCACTGAGATGCTCTTTAGAAATAAACAAACTTTGAAATAACGGATTAGAAAGTTCTTGTAGGAAAGCTCTTCATTCTAGCTCATAATGGCTGGGATTGCACATAGGGGAAAAGAGACACTAACTGCCGAATTCACAAACCTTTATTCCAATTGAGGCACCCCCCCAATTCCTCAATTAAGGCACGAGGGACGGCACTGGCCAATCGCGAGGACGGCTAAGCAGCCTAGGCCGCCTATTTGTCGTCGCGACTGGCCCCCCCCCCCCCCCCCCCCCCCCCAGCACCGGCCCTCACACCTTCCTTGAGGAAGTGGAGGGGCGCCTCAATTGAAATGAGGTTTGTGAATTCGGCGGTAACTTAGCTACTGCTAGGGTCTGGCAAATTGGAGACATACACCTCCCCACTGGCCACAGGCTCCACATCTTAAACACCTGTGGACTTCGAAAGGTTAGAATGGGGCACAGCACCCACCAAAGATAGAATTACCATAAAGTTTTGCGAGTGCCTTGCCGAGCGCAAATGCAAGACGCTGGATGCCGCGGACACGGCACACGTGGTACTGGTCAGTAGCCAGCTTGTCGAGGTTGACCATGTTGCCTCGGTTGAGAAGAGGTACTGAAACATCAGCGAATGAATTAATTCATAGCATAAAACAAAGCTGGGTTGTGACCACTCCTTGGAACCACAGAGGACACACATGTCTAACTTGGAAGCAGCCAATGAACATTATAGGTTTAGGTAGGGGTCAGTATTTTAGATCTAATTGTGCAGCTATATTTTTTTGTGTGTGGGTGTGTACGTGCAGGGAGTGGGGGTTGTTAACTCATTGCAAATGTTTTATGGGGCTGGTTGCTTATTATTGGGGTCCACTTGCGTTTAGTCAGGGGAGGATCTAACTGTAAACACAGACATCAAGGTGCAGTACTCGGGCTCGCCTTCTGAGTTAAATTTCTGTTCTCCTTGGGGACCGGTCCTCGTGTGCCAAGTTCACTGCGATTTTAAGAAGTGATTTGAATAGTTTCTTATCAAAAATGTTTCAGAACTTCCCAATGCATAGAGGCAGTTTCAAACTCTGTCAGAGTTTAAAACTGCCTTCTATACATAAAAAGGGTAAAAGCACAGGCCAGCTGGTGAAGAACTTCCATCGTAAACCGGAAACACGGAAAAATAAAAAAACGGACAAAACAACAACAAGTCTCAAACACAGCTTCTAGTTTATTTGAACACCTCCGCTCTTATATATACACAACAACCCTCCTCTCCAAAGGTCGGCACACTTCCTCTCCACTCCATCAACGACATCTCAAACTGAACCAATGACACATGCTACCTCCCTTCCTTTCATACCAACCAAAAACTGACCCCTTCTATACATGTTACTTTCACAAATGGTATACTCTTTTTTTAATCTATCTTGTTATATTCCTGACATAATTACCTATTTTTTGGATTTTCGAACTTTCAAGGAACTTACTGACCTAAACACATGCTTTTTTGACCTGTCTACAACTGTATCCATCGCTGAGTGCTTATAAAAGAACAAGTGTAATAGAATACATTTCACTGAAAAAGAAAAAAGATAAATTTTATGGCGTATATTAACTGATAAAAACCAAATATTGGATTTCGAAATAAAAACCAATAAATGTATGCCGAATTCAAAAAAAAAAATAATAAAAACCGAAAACGCTGATCTTGTTCAGTGTTTTCGGAGTTAACTTTTTTTGCTCGAATTCGGGGGTATTTCTTTTTCGATGTTTAATTTTTTCCAAAGATTCTGTGTTTTTGTGTAAATTGGTTGAAGTCATAACCAATTTACACAAAAAACACCGAATCTGCACAAAAAATTACCACCCCCCCCAAAAAAAAAAACAAGTACCCTCAAATTCGAGAAAAAAAATACTCAGAAAAATCAGAACCCAAGTTATCGGTAGGTTGTGACTTTCCAGTTTTAACCTAAA